ACATGTTATAAATTATTACATTTTTTTTCATCATACATAAACAGAACAAATAATATTATTATTATAATATCATTTATATGGTGATTCATCAAGCGTATCACCCTTATTTTCCCCTTGAATCATACGTTTATTCAAATTTTAAATTTTGAAATTATTAAATTTATACGTGTAGAACATATTTTCAAATGAAAACCACTTTTTTTTACTATGAATTGTTAACAAATCTCAATCTAAATTTGAATGAGTTTAGTAATTAAACTTTATTTATCAAGAATAGTATAATTGTGCACGATAAACTTTTTGTAGATTTATACAATGTAGCTAATATTAGTTCTGTTAGATATAATCTATTATTGTTATGAACAAATTAACATTTTATAATGTAGGAATAAGTATTATACATCTATTTTATATTTAGTATCATTATAATACCAAAAAAATCATATATATTTTTCTTTATGAATTACAGTAAAAAATAAGGGGAGACGGGCTCATATAAAATAACATAAAAATATAGATGTATCCTTAATTACTAGAAAAACCAGAATTTCAATAAATGTATAATCTAAGGACAAAAGTAACGATGAGCATTGAGTATGCTAGTGGTGGGAAACCACTTTGTGTAATTTAATAATATTACGTTAAATAATTTTAATTCATATAATAATTAAATTGTAGTATATTATTGCATAATAATTAAGAATTTTTATAAGAATTTACTTGAAAATCAAAAACCATAATATGCAGTATTGCGGTCGTAGCTTACAAAATAATTACCTGCCAATTGTGCACCAGTGTTCAAAACTCGTCACGCTACAAATTGCAAATATTCGATATAAATTATCGTTTTGAATATAGATCGTTGATTAATCGTCTGTACAGTGTATTCAAACGTTTAGACAAGATAAATTATATAGGAACATCGCTCCGCTAATGACGACTTTTAACCAATAATAAATGAATTAACAAATAATAGTATGTTTATTATACGAACTATGGTACATGGCTGTACATTGAATCATATTGCTGTCCGTTTTTAAAGGATTTTCAGATTCATTTCAAGTTTACAGTTCGTAACGATTGTATAGGACAACAAATTAAGCGAGTTATTGTGAAGGTACAAATCCGTCTGTGATGTTGTATGAGTATAGTTATAGATATTAGATTTACTTAAACCAAAATATATTAAAATATACCAGAAACACTAAAATGTGAAAAAACTATTTAGTGTAAACAGTTTAATAAACCATTTGCTTTAGGTACATCCGCTAAAACTCTTATTGTTCTATATATTTATTTTGCAGAAAAGCCTTTTTCCCTCTTTCCTTCATCCATCAATCCCATGGATCCCAAGAGTCGCCTTTTTGTATCATGAAATTCAAAATATTTAAAAAAATATATGTATGAGAGATAAAATACACAAAACTTTTTTGAATAATAGAAAGTTTTAAGTATCAAATTAATAACAATAATTATTTATTATTTTTTTACTTACTATTGCAATTACTTATATTACGTGAAAGGTAAAAATTGATAGACATTTTTATGTAATTAAGAGATAAAGTGTGATTTTAGTAAATCAATAGTAATTTAATAGGTAATTGAAATATTATTATTATAGTCTTCATATACAGCTGGTAGAATCTACCAAGTAGATTCATACAATCATACTCCATACATGTAATTATTTTTTAGTAATTATTGTATACCATTGGGCTTTTGGTGACTTGCTCTTATTTTTGTCACGACAACAGTGATAATGATGTGTTTGTGATTCACAAATTACTTTGCTTTTATAAGGACGAGTCAATAAACTTGAACAAATCAATTCAAAACACATATATATTATATTATATATGCATACGTGTAGTACCTACCTACGTACCTATATACAAAAAAATAGTATGCATAATAATATGTACAAGTATAACTCAATTTTGGTTTTATTTGATCAAGTTTCTTGTGAGCTACAATACAATGCGGTATTTTAATATTTAACGTAAAACATTTTATTATAATAATTTTTTTTTACGACGTTTTCGACTAAATCTTAAATTGATACATAATATTTACATTACTATAATATCTCTGCATTGAAAAGTTCTAGCAGAGCTTATACAAAATTAACCACTAAGCGTGTTTATCGCCATTTTTTCATTTGATTTTAATTCCTAAAATTTTTCTATATATCTTGAAAGAATCACATATTGAAGTACTTGGTTTTCTTTATAACATTAAAAGAATACTATCCCTGTGGTGATTACAGACTTCTTTCTTTTAATTATCAAATAAGTGATTGTTTCGATCAAAGGTTTTTAAATTATATAATTTCGTGCACATGGACAATTTAAGGTAAGAAGATATGAAGTTGATGATGATTTGAAAATTATTATTATCTATAACTAATTGTATTTTAAAATTTGTAAAAATTGTCCTATTGTTCTATCATATAATTAATTTAGTACTAAAGAAACTTTAACACATATTATACATAATATCTGTTTTATACTGTTTATTTTGTACTTACAGTTTTATAATTAAAAACTTATTATAAAACTTTGATTAAATTATTTATAAGGACATGAAGATTTTCAACAAAAAATAATCTAATCGACACTAAAAAAATAATAATAATAATAATAATAATAAAGTAATAAAAAAAAAATGGTTCTCATGTGCAACAAATAAGTTTGTACGACCACAGGACATGTAAATTCTCCGGGAAATTGTTAAGTATATAATGATTGGTAATTCACAGAATCAAAAAAAAATTATTTTTCGAAATCTATGAATAGGATTTAATCTTTATGGTAGCGCGCTGCAGTTAAATAACCTACAAAGTATAATTATATGTATATTATTATCATTTATAATATGCATCGATGCTGACACGCGTAATCGCTTGTAAAGTTTGGGTATAATAATATCGTTGTATAACAATTAATAGCAATACGTGTCCCAAAACGATATCATTTTCGATTATGAAACACCGCGCCGCACAAACTCGTATTAATCGGATTTACGTTAATTTCACACACATCGCGTTCACGACCACGACACAGTAAATTGCTTGTAAGACATTATTATACAGGGACAATACCGTTCTGTTACCGTTAATGTGTATAAGTACCTACGTGATATGTTTTATTTTGAAAACGTTATAATATATACCTACGCTAGAGTAGGTACAGTGCAAGCAGCCGTCATTGCATGTGGGTCAAGTTGTTATTATTGTCATTACTGCGTCACTACCTATATAGTATACAACAACTATATACCATTATGGTTATCATCATGTAAGCCGGAATAGTGCTAACCGCACGGCGGTGGCACATTACAATTAAAAACAATTGCTAATAACGAGCGAATGTGCGAAAACAAAAAAAAACATTTTATGCGTTCAATCAACATCATAATATGACTGCTAGTCCATGAGCACACTCTAAACACAATACTGAAGAGTTAATGGGTTTTTGTATCGTGTATATAGTTATTATGATGGTTCCCGACACATTATGCTCCAAATCGGGCAATGGATTTTAATAAACGCTGTCGCAAAATTTACGCTTATGTTTGCACTGAAAAAATTGTATGTACATAAACCTACTTAAAATATAATAAGTACGCAAGTAGATAGCACTGCGATGAATATACCTTTATGTATAAGACAATATGACTTTTTAAAATAACGTAGTCGTCGTTCGTGTTTCGTTTCGGGCCAATAATAATCGTAGTTCAACGACGCCGCCCTTAATCCCTCTAATTGGACTTCTGCTATAAATTATAATACAATATTATTATTTATAAATTATATTCTCAAATTATTATAGCCCCCATAGTCTTTTAAATTCATTATCATAGATTTATTATTAGTGCACAAAATGAAAAAAATCATCAACTATAATCGGTCGAATATCGAATTAAATATACCAAGATTATTTGAAGTCATTTGATTATTAATTTACAAGAATAAAAAAATGATTTTCATTCGAAATAAAGGAGTTTATATCACCACAGAACACTCACTCCTTAGTTTTAAATGATGCATAAATTCTAAGTATTTGAATAAATAGTACCAAAGAATACATTAAAAATTTCAAAAATCAGAACTTTAACAAGTTTATTATAAAATATAGATGAGCATTGGGCATGATTGTTGAATCACTCTGTATATATGCTTAACGGTATTTTTAATTTCGTTTTTTTCTCGAGCGTTTCGTCGATTATCATTTTAATAATTTACTCGCGTACATATCGTATACCAGTGATGCCTATATAATATGTAATCGGTTCGTTTCGACGATATATAGCGTTTGTTTAATATGTATATTATATAGCTATACCTTCGCTGCGATCGTCAAAACGAGAACTCGTTGTGGTTTTTAAAGAATATTAAAATACAGAAATCCGGATTCAAGCAATTGTAAACTTAAAATTAATACATGATGTGTTTTTATTAACCATTACGTCGTCGGCTTGTATTATAATAGCGCATATAATAACACATGCTATGAGGACCGAATAAGCTATTCCAATTAGCCAATATAGGTTAATTTTATGATGGTTCGGCAAGTGAATCTAACCATTATGAAATTTAGATGCACAATATAAATTATATCCCTGTATTCCATTTCTACATAAATAGTGACGCAAATGATCAAAATTCTCGTGGGGAGGGGATATTTTAGTCGGGTTTCAATATTTAGTTTCGATTTTTAAAACATGATGCGATTCCAATGAGTTATCTTGTATGTGAGGATTGTTGGGTAGTCGTCATACAACTATGTTTATAGAAGTATAAAATAATATAATAAAATATTATCACTTAGAAGACCTACCTATAATTCGTAGATCGTGTACTGTATGTCTGTAGTTAGTTATATGATGCTTTTTTCGATTCTAGCAATCCCCCCCTCCCCCGTGTATAGACGTTATTATACTAAATAATTTTTAATTCTATAAATATTATATGCTGACGGTTTTCTTTTCGGTTTTTCCAGGTTTTGCGGTGGTGTCGAGCTGTAGTACGGTATCGTCGCCTTGGACGCCCGGTGGAGGCACGGCTGGTGGTAACCCTGACGGGCCGGACGGTGGCGGCAACGGTATGCGTAGCGCGGCAGGCGTGAACGCGGGCAGCAACCTCAGCCTAGACGTGGATGACTGTGATGATGACAAGGAACTGTCAGCGGCTGATGCAGAGGGTGTGTGGAGTCCGGACATTGAACAGAGCTTCCAGGAAGCACTAGCCATATACCCGCCGTGCGGGCGCCGGAAGATCATTTTGTCCGACGAGGGTAAAATGTATGGTGAGTGATCACAATATGTTTATAATTAATTCATTATAAATATTCTTGATCGCCACAAGAGCATATAGATATATTTTATCAGCACGGTAATCATTCGTTTAGATAAAAATATATTTGACTTAAGTTCCGTTTCAATAACTGGAAGGGGCCCGAAGATTGAATTTTTTTACAGCTGAACAGTAATAAAAAAATAAATATTCGTTGCAATATATCACTTGAACAATAAAAATAATCTTTGATATTTTTTTAAAAATTGACAATATTTATGAATTTTGATAGGTACTACGAATAATAATATAAAAAAAATTTAATCATATTTCCATATAGCTGGGTCAAAATAAATATATTTTAATTTATAACTGGTGTACTCGTAATTTCTCCAAATCAAATGTTAAATGGACTTACTATTTAAAATACTTTCTTTGTCTTACACTCTTACTCACTTGAAATATAAACATTTTTTGTGTTTTAAAAAAAATCAAGTTGTCAAATTTGAAAGTATTGAATGTTGATTGAATAATTTCTAATTGACAACAAAGATTTAAAGTTTTAATGAGCTTGAAATTTGTTCACAATCTATATTAGGTATTTTGCAGATAGTAATATCATTTGTAATTTTTCTTTGTTCATTGTTCTTCTAAACTATGTATACGCTTATTGATATAAAAAATTATTCAATAACCGTGAAATAAAATCAAAAGTTGTTGAAAATTATATCCTGCTTCCGATTGTGATGAAATATGTGTAATATATTGTCGCGTAAAAAATCACTATTATTATAAAAAAAAATCGGATTTATTTGTTAAAATTTGGGTGTGAGTACTTTTTAAAAACAAAAAAATCGTCCTTTAATATTTGTGTAGATTTATTGCTAGTTAAATGGATTAGCTCGTGTGACATGTATGTTATACGCATCAACATTTGTCAGTTTAGCACAATATAGCTAATTTGAATGCTGATGCGTAGCTTTATAGTTTATAGAATATATATGTATCATGCGTTGGCATGGTCAAGTATGTATTTTAATTTAACAATCTCGTTCTTTCGGAGTTTCTCTTGATCAGTTTGCTATTATGAAAAATCTTGTTTTTGTTTTTTTGTTTTTTTTTTGGATAATAACAGCGTTTAATATATATATAATTTAAACTCTTCTTATATTTTTGTGATTTATATACAAATTATGTGTTCAATATAGATTTTTATCACGACTTGACATAAATTTATTTTGTAGCGTTATAAAAAGTAACGTTATATAGATTTTTATTTTCAAACTATATATCTATACAGGTAAAAAAAAAAACTTTTATACACTGATATAATATTTTACGTACAATAATAAGAATAAACACTTTTGTTCCGCGTACAATATATATATAATATATATGTAATAGAATTTTAAATGTTTAAAATACTAAAAGTTGCCAAACATTTTTATAGCCTATGCTATTGTGCAACAGCACACCTGTTATTATTAATTCTTCTCTTTTTCTTCCTATAACTTTTCCTCGTGTCGGACCCTTATGAATTTATTGCCGTTTCGCGCGCTCTCGCGCACGCATATATATGTTAGTGTGCTGTGTATGTGTATAGGGCGATGTATATATTATTTGTCCGCTCTAAACCGACTTTTGAAAGCTTTTGTCTTCCGTCGTCTCGCCACTGAAAGTGACCCTTTTTGTCTTCCGACCGCATTTTACTCAAAAACTTATCTCGCCGAAAACTTGGGGTCGTAAATACTTTTGCGATTTAAGGCAACTATAAAAGGCGAAGTTTTTATTGTTTTCCATCCTATCCGCTGCTGTTGCTGTTGGCTGCATCACCCTCATTCTCGTCTACAACAATTCTTTACGTGACTGATATTAGACTGCAGTGTTAGTTGCGTCCGATGAGAGTGATCCACCATCATGGGGTTAAAAGTGTACATTTACCTATGGCTTTATAGTATAATATATTATCATACTGGATAAAAAATGAATTATAAAAAATTATATTAATATAAGTAATGTAATAGGTAGTGGCATAACACTATTATAGAGGGAAAGAGCAGATGTTTGTATACAAAATAAAGGGTCACGTGTACGATGGAGGGTGAATAAAAGTTTAGCTTAGATATTTATTGAAAAATGAATTGTCTCTTACAACAGCGCAAAAGGGGTGGCTATAGCATTTATAATGGTTTTATTCTTTTCCAGTGGTGGTAAAAGTATCGTAGAAAGAAATCGCTAAACATTGAATGCGTTGATAGAAATTTCGTTAAAGTAGTAAGATCTTGTAAGGTATATTAAATGTATACATATAAGTATATAATGGTTAATTATATAAAAAAAATTGCAATGCATTAAAATTCCACACATGTAGACATTAAAAAGATCGTTATTTGTTTTTATTCAATGACTCTACCTATAACGATTTATAATTGATACATTATGCGCCTTTTTTGTATATTTATTGCAGTATTCTGAATTTAAAATTAGATCAGGTTATTTATAGATGTGTTATAGTTAAGTAAAAACTCATTAAATGCAATAGATATTTTATATATATATATACTAAAACGTGCATAAATTGTGTTATTTATATTTAAAAAAATTATTTTCGTTAATTAAAACTGCCAAAAAAACTTTTCAAACACAATTATAAAAAATTTAAATCTGAGTAGTTGGACGTAAATTCGTGCACACTGATATATTTAATACACATTATTTTTATATTTAAGACTTTATATATTATATTATTATATGGGTATTTATGTAGATAATTCTCAAAACCGGTCACGCGTGTGATTCATCTCCTCCTCATAAAAACCAGCAAACACTGTCAGTGAAAGCTAAAAACCACTGTAAAATGCGTTTTGTAAAAAAAAAAAAAAAAATTGAACAATTTGATAGCAACACGACGGTTTATCATGTAATAAACACGTATTGCTATAAATTTAATTTTATGATATTATGCCGGCGGCAGTATGAGGTTTCGCTGCTAGAATATAATATAATATAATATATATTTAAAGGTCGAACCCGGTTTTCAGTGCAGCGCGTTTAAGTAGTGATGGGTGGGAGCAGTATATAGTTTTCATCATCCCCAGTACTGCAATAGAGTGGGAGGGTTCCGATTTGTGTGGGCAAATGACCGTAAGAGCGGTGGTGGGGTAGTTTGGATACGGGTCAAAGGGGGTTGTTTTGCGGCAGTCAGCGTGGTGACGAACGGATGAGGTGGTATACTCGTTTCAGCTCCGGAGCTGGGGGTGGTAGTAGTGGCTATGGAGGTTCCACAATAGGGAGTTGTGAAAGGGTGACGAGAGGATAGTAGACGGAACTATATATATACGCAAACTTGCGAACGAGTGTGTGTAGAGAAAGAGAAAAGGGTATATGGTAGAGAGTAGGGGTAGTGAGGCAGGGAGACGGCGGACAAACTATTCCAAGAATGTGCAATTAGTGTATATACACACTCGTCGGGGGTGCTGCTATAATTCACCCTTGACTCTAGCGGCGCGCGCTGTGCTGCTTGTAGAGTGTAATAAGGGAGGAAAGAAAGACATAAGAGGCCATCTCGGTTGAGACCACCTCACCCTTTTCACCTCCACTCCGCCACCGTGCCATTAACACGTAATCTTCCTCCGCCTCTTTTTCCGGCTACCTATATATACATGACGTGCCAAGAGAACACAGCCAGCGCAGTTCCAGCGATTTTCTGCTCTCTTTACCGCCGCCACACCCATGCTGCATCCTTAACCCTAAGCACTATATATCGCCTTCAACCGCCACCGTTCCAGTCTCTTCTTTCTCATCCTCTTGACCTTTTATGTGTGCCTCCAAATAAAAGCCTATAAAATCTATCGACTTTATGTGTGTATGTGTACGTGTATATGTGTGACCTGATTGGCGATTACTGCTATTGCTCTTCTTCTTCACCGCTACCCATATATGTTTATCCGTTATGTGTGAGTAGTTTTCACTATCGATTAAGTCAAACGGCGTAGTGATCACTCGATCTGCAAGGTTCACTTGTACATTTTTTTCTAAAAGAATTCTTGGTCGTCGCCATTGTCGACTATTACGTCCAGTGTACCTATCCTTTATTATTTCTGCACTTTAAAAAAATTCATTTCTACTCGAGACTCCACTTGAACCTTCAATATATACGTGTTTATACCACTGAGAATTACAGTTTTTCCGTACCGGTAAATATTATCGAATTTTATCTTACATGTTTAAAGTGATGAAGAAAACAGATACAGTAAACACGTCAGCTATTCGTTTTCAATCGAACTTGTATATGTACGTCGCAAACAATTTTGTCATTCTAACTTGGTGGTGGAGGTGTAGGTTGCGTGACGAAATTAACACAAATTATATTCAACACAAATGTCTCTGGGTGCCCGTTTCTAATTTATGACGTTCTCACTCACAATCTTGTTACTACAACAATAATGCGTTATTGCATATTATATCTCCATTCTCCAACGATTCAAAACTTAGTAATACGAATGGAGGAATATATTATTATATAAATATACTATAATATAAGTACGAGTAATTAATATGCCTTCATTAAAGTTTTCGGGCGAATTTATTATATAATTTTTAGAATTATTATAAACCAGTACATTAATTTTTAATGTTTTAATGGTCACGTTGTTCTTCGTAGATAATAAAAGATTATGAATTTCTTTCGTTGATAATGTCAAAAACATCGCGGGTAGTTGCAGTACAACCTATATAGATAAATGATCGGGGCTGAATAAATGCGCGTTGAATGCGGTTAAACTGTTGTGTTATTTATTAGTAAACATTAATCATTGTTAAAACGTTTTCGTATTTATGGTTAGTGATTAATAACAATATGTTTATTCATTATATTATTCCGTACGATTTTATGTATCTTAATTGTATTAATAAACTAATAAATGTGCGTCGTCGTGTTACTTTTGTTTTATAAAGACAATCAATTATTTTGTATAATTAAATTGTCCTGCTGAGTCAATTTCAAAAAATAAC